GAAATGGAATACAGTGTAAGTCTTTTGCCTGGCAGTGTTGGGGGCTCATCATCTGGGAACATCCTGATATTCTGTGCCCGAAGGCAGGAACTGTAAGGTGTTTATTAACCTGTATTTTGGGCTGAAGAGTTGGTTAAAAATGTGAAAAAGAAAGATCTATGTTTATTTTTCTTCCCAGATTTTTTTCATGCTTGTAGAGAATTCACAGGACATGATCAAAACAAAATTGGAATTTGATGTGATTTAATTTTAATAAATCAAATTGATTTAATGCAATTGATACAATTGCTCATGGTATATATAATGATTTTCCCCTTCTGTAACTTTGAAGAAAGATCAGTAGTGGGTGGAGGGGGGTCTATGGGACCTCTGAGGATCACCTGTGGCCTTGGGGCCTCAACTATACACTGCTGAGCTAAGCAATGATTTAACAATTATTTTTTGACCAAGCCAGATGTGGCTCAGTTCATCTATAATGGGCCATACAGTTGGGTTTATAACCAATTAGGGTTGGTTTTACACATCATACTATGCCAAAGATAAATAAACCATGTTCTGCTTTATCAAGGATTCCTTACTTCATATACCATGCTAAAACCTAGTTATTCCCTATTCCAGATCTACTAAATTGACTTTCAGCTTTTTGGATCCTTCAGTCCCACTAATTGCTATATCAAACATGGAAACACAAAACCTACATTTCAAGGAAGGGAGGAAGGAATTTACAGACATTCTGTTAACAGTTACAGCCTGTTGACTTTTTTGTGTTGCTTTTACTGCTACAAGTGCAAAATAACGAGAGCCTGTTGGGCTGAAGCAGCGTTTTCCATTATGGGAGCAGTCTTCCTATACGCTCAATCCAAAAATATATCGAAATAATGAGAGAGTACTAACAAAACACTTTATTTTGTTTTGGCTTCTAACCCTACATTTTTCAGAAGCTGTTTAATCATGGACTCCAGGAAACCCTTGCGGGATGTTCCGTGTTCTTTGTCTCAGCATATTCTGTTGGACGTTCTGTCCTCTTTTTCTGCTTCTCTCCAAAGAGGCCCTTTTCTGATCCGGGGAGGACATTCACACCCCACCAGGTTCCTTGATAAACTTTACATACTGCAGATCCTGTTTCTGCTCAAGGTAAAGAAACTACTGCATAGCCTCCAGAGCAGTGTTTCTCAGCCTTAGCAACTAAGATGTGCGGATTTTAGCTCCCAGAATTCTCCATGCTGGCTGGGGAATTTGCACAACACACTAACCCACATTTAACAGAATTAACCCAACGGCCAGGGTTCACTCCACACACTGAACCAGAAACAGACAGGCTGGCTCTGCAGAAGGCCTGCGACCCAGCGCACCCATCCCGTTCAAGCTGAGCTGAATGCGAATCAAGCCATTTTCTCACTGCCTTGGATGCCTGATGGTGACTTCACAGGCCTACCGAGCTGCCAACGAGGCGGTGCAGGCCGAAAAGCAACCCTAAGTCCCAGTTTCATGTTTGTGCTTTCCTTCCTGCCTGCCTGCCTTCCTCCCTCTCTCTCCTCCCTCCCTTTTCTTTTGCTTCCTTCCTTCCTTCCTTCCTTCCTTCCTCCCTCTCTCCTTTCTCTTTTCTGTCTGTCCTCCCTCCCTCCCTTCCTCTCTCTCTCTCTCCCGTCTTCCCTCCCTCCTTTTCTTTTTCCTTCCTTCCTCCCTCCCTCTCCTTTCTCTTTTCTGTCTGTCCTCCCTCCCTCCCTTCCTCTCTCTCTCTCTCCCGTCTTCCCTCCCTCCTTTTCTTTTTCCTTCCTTCCTCCCTCCCTCTCCTTTCTCTTTTCTG